AATATTCAGAGTTCAGTGCTTTGAGATGAACAGCTGGTGGCGCTAATTCTCCAGTTGGTGCCATTAGGGTATTCCAGGAGATGTTTGTTTCATTAATTTGAGTCCCGTCATCACACCATACAAATGTGATGTTTTCGTCGGTGGAAGCTTGACTGAAGTTTAAGTCACATGCTTCATGCATGTCATGATTCATTAAATATATAAATTCTGGAAGTATGGGTTAAACAGCTAACCTGATAGTACCAGACAGTGTGTTTCACAAGTCAGTGTTGGAAACTGTTTGGAAAAGAGGAGTCACTTGCAAAAAATACTTGCTAGCTGATTCGATGAACCTGCAAACTTCCAATAGTCCCTTCTCACACACACTTACTGTTAAAGCACATCTGTAGCTCATGCTGTAGCTGCCAGTAGTTCCTCATAGGATGCTGATCAGCCCAGTAACACTGTGGTTCAGACACAAGTGCATTGATTGAAGCCTGGCAAGATAGATTCTGATGTGATTTTGAGTCCAGCTGCCTCACAAGGTTAGTACAGCTAGTCTGGCTCTAGACTTAGCTAATTGACTCTTGGCTCTAGCTCAATGCACAGACATAGAAGTGGCTTAAATCTACCTAGCATATGTCCTAAAATGTTCCTTGAAAATAAATTGTGGCCAATTTTAGAATTGCATCAAACTTTTAAAAACTGCATGTTGGGCAACTTCTTAAAGATAGAAACAGACCATGAAACCAGCCCAGTATAACGCTAAATCAATATGCGTTATTCCAAGTAAGATAAATAAACAACTATACAGCTAAATGAAAACTTACTTGATCTGTGTCTAAATGTAGCAAAAAGTATGTGAACTAGAAAGATGTGGACAAAAAGAGGCCATGTATGGGTTGAAAGACATGCAAAGAAAGAGACAGATATAGCTGACAGCATCAAAGCCACATATACAGGCAAGTGTATATGCATAGATATAACCAAATGAGTTCACACACACGCATGTTTGTGAATCCCCATACTCTGTTTCAATAAATGACCTATAATGAACGCCACATATGCACAAACATGAGTATGCATAGTGTGTTAAGTCCTGTTAGTAATCACACTGGTTGGATTTGATGCCAGTTTATCAAACTACAGTCACTTTAACCAGTCTGTAGAAAGATGGGGCTCGGGTTTCTTTCAGTCATGAAGTACTATATATTTACTGCTGAAAATGAACTGACCCTCAGGTAGGTTTAGAGGGAAGCTTTACAAATGCAATGGTTGCTGACTCTATTCCCACCTGTCTACCATGATTTATATTATTAATAAAGCCACCACAGCCCAATAATCTGTGCTGAATGAACTAAGAACAGAATGGTAAATCAGTCTAATATCTATATGCAGACCACTGCTATCTGTTAGTAATACTTGGCAACAAAGTTCCAGGAAGTAAAAACAAAAGTTGTCTAAAGTATTTAAAGATAAATGAAGGTCTTCTGTGAGAGCAACATTAGAGGCGCACACGGTTAAGTATGGAATAGTAGATAAAAACATCCCAGTGGAAAGCATACTGCTGATCTTCATCTGAGCTCCGTAACTTTGAATTGTCAGAAGATGTATTTTCTACTTTGGTTTGCATTTACTGGGAAGTTAGACCATTGTAAAGCAGCAATTGTTTGCTATAATTAACAAGACAGACTGGAGGAAAGCAGTCAGTGTGGCTGTCCATCGCTACAGGAGTTGCAGTAAATTGGAACACGTATAGAGAGGTACAGCTTAAAGCTTCCACAAAAATGAATGTGAAACACACATCTGTAGAGATATTCAATATCCCTGTCCCCAGGGACTAAATTAGTATCTGCCTGTGCTTTCATGCTGTGTGTTTCCTTTGTGAGGAACTAGACATGACTCCAATTTTAAGGAACACCCTGGACTTTTTTTTTCTTCACTCCTTTTAAAACCTTGACAATTAAATCTCTGAAAGCGACAGCATGTCACTGTAAGAAAAGATTCACCATATCTACTCAATAAAAATGAGGCAACAGATTACAAGCAATATTATTAATTAAATTTCACAATGTTTGGCATTGAGTAAATAATAATTAAATGAGACCCTTAATAGTTATCCATTTAATATGAGTAGATTCAAATAGAAAGAGTACAGAATTAATTATAACCTAAACAAAAATATTGAGTTGATTTGAAAAAGATAAACTCCCTAATGTGTAAATAGTAATAATAAAAAATAATTTAATTCTACATATCAATGATACATAATTGAGTAATAATCATCAACATTAATCTGCACATTGATTTGAATTTAATCATGCAATGAATTAAATCTAAATATTCTTCATACATAGGAATAACTAGTCTATGGCCAAGAAAGTACAGAACTTAACAAATACTCAAATAAGAATTTTATTAACAATTCACTTTTGTGCTTTCGACACATTGTAGCACATCAGTGTACACTGCAACCACAGTCTCATTTCAAGCCAGAAGTTGGATCTTGCATTTCAAACCAGACATTTGAAAAGGACAGAATGCTGACTTCAAACTATTTTGCAAAAACAAAAATAAATGCCATATTACAGAATGGTGATGTGTCCATGTTTTCCATGCTTTCTCACCTCACTTAGCCACTAAATTGGATCAATAATGATCTTAAAGAACAATCCTCCAGAAGTGCATGTACCAAAACAAAAGCAGAAAAGTGTAATTTGTACGGATTAAAAAACAATTCATACTTTGAATTAACCACTATAGAAATGTCACTTTTAATTGTCAATTTAATTAAATATTTGCCTCAAAATCAAAAACACAATCATATTGAATATATTTTACCTAATACATTAATTCAAATCTACATGACCACAGAATCATTTCTTACAGTGTGTAAGTCATGTGACCATTTCTTTAAAATAAATATAGTATTAGTAATACAGTATAATACAATACAGTATAGTATAGTATAGTATGGTATAGTATAGTTTAGTATAGTATAGTATAGTATAGTATAGTATAGTATGGTATAGTATAGTTTAGTATAGTATAGTATAGTATAGTATGGTATAGTATAGTATAGTTTAGTATAGTATAGTATAGTATAGTATAGTATGGTATAGTATAGTATAGTATAGAATAGTATAGTATGGTATAGTATAGTATGGTATAGTTTAGTATAGTATAGTATAGTATAGTATGGTATGGTATAGTTTAGTATAGTATAGTATAGTATAGTATAGTATAGTATGGTATAGTATAGTATAGTTTAGTATAGTATAGTATAGTATAGTATAGTATAGTATGGTATAGTATAGTATGGTATAGTATAGTTTAGTATAGTATAGTATAGTATAGTATGGTATAGTATAGTATAGTATAGAATAGTATAGTATGGTATAGTATAGTATGGTATAGTATAGTTTAGTATAGTATAGTATAGTATAGTATGGTATAGTATAGTATAGTATAGTATGGTATGGTATAGTTTAGTATAGTATAGGATAGTATGGTATAGTATAGTTTAGTTTAGTATAGTATAGTATAGTATAGTATAGTATAGTAGAGTTTAGTATAGTATAGTATAGTATAGTATAGTATGGTATAGTATGGTATAGTATAGTTTAGTATAGTATAGTATAGTATAGTATAGTATGGTATAGTATAGTATAGTATAGTTTGGTATGGTATGGTGTAGTATAGTATGGTATGGTATGGTATAGTATGGTATAGTATAGTATAGTATAGTATGTTATGGTATGTTATGGTATGGTATGACTATAATAGTATAGTCAACAGCATGACATCCTCAGTTACTGAGGTACATACATATAAAACACAGCAGAATTGGCAGTGTTGTTTAACTGTGTAAAAAACAACACTATCCCCATATTGTCAGTGTCCTGCACACATAACCTGTCAGTTATCACTCGTTGATAGCTTTTAACAACCACTCCAAACCCTTCGCAGTTGCACTCCAAACAACACTAATCTCCAAAAAATAATTGCCAGAGAAATATCAATACTTTGCAGTGTGTTATGGATTTGGCCCAGTCTATAAAATCAGTCAAGATATGGCTGTAATCAGGGTGTGGGTCATGTACACAATAAACATTCAAGTAGATTGTTTAGTCTCACTGTTATTATTATTTTTGAAGGTAATTCTTGTATTTATAAATTGCTTACTTCTCTTTAATGACTATAATAACTCCTCGTAACTTGCACTGGTTCCCCCCCAACAGCACCTACTGTGTACAGTATAACTACCAGCCTTCATGCTCTCAACTGTTAAGAGAAAATATTACCTTTCTGTATAGTTTCTCATAAATGTGCTTGTCCTACGATAAACCCTTATTAACACTTTATTTCATTTATGTGTGAATATTTTATCTAAATGTTCAATTCAGTTTTATTTATACAGCACCAAATCATAACAGAGGTTATCTAAGGACACTTTTCATACATAGCAGGTCTACACCATCTATTAGACTGGACCGTATTTATCTCTTTTAGAATAAATCTTATTTACAAAGAAACTTTTCAATATTTGCATGGCCAAGAAAGAATGTACAGCTTCCATATATAGTTAAAACCATCTGTTAAATATATGTTCAGTTTAACCCTGCACTCCTGTTGTTGCCACAACCAGAACAATCACAGGTAACAGTCTGAGCTGATGAGCTGCTATTGGAGGCGTGTGTAGGACACACACAATTACCATTGATCCACCTGGTGTAGAGTCATGAACTACTATGTTGATTTCACAATAACCTGAAGTAAACAGACAATCACGTGTTGATTTAACAGTAACTTAAGGTAGGCTATACATACTATTGTAATCAAGTTACTGTATTTGAATGGTGTTAATGATAATCACAATTTGCCATAACTTCACATTGTGGTACTTTGCCTTATTATGAGGGAATATATATAAAATTTGATTTGGCAATTTTTATTCATTGATTTATTAGCAATACAGATTGTGTACATTTTGTATTGAAATCATGAACTGCTATGTTAACAATGTGATACTTTGTACATTCATTGTACATGCTCATAATTCTTATCACAAGTATAGCCCTTTCACTGATTCACACTTTTTGGGCTTACTTTTTGCTTGTTTTATCTCTTAAAGTAGAGCTGCCACGATTAGTTGATTAACCAATGAGTTGTCAAACATTAAATTAAACAGTTTTGGTCGTTAAATACATTTTATAAATCGTTTTAAGTTATTTCTAACAGAAATAAAATGTCCACATTATCTAAATTTCAGCTTCTCAAATGAAAATATTTTCTGGTTTCTTTTGTACTGTATGACTGACAATAAACTGAGAAACAGTAATCCACATTTTCCACGTTTTGTTTTGTTTGTTTTTTGGGGTAATTGTACAGCCCAAAACACAGATTTATCGATATTTAAATAAATCTTAGCAGAGCTATTTTAAAGTTGTCCTGTCAAAGTGAAGCCTTCATTACATTATTTAAAACGCAAGCCCTTACAGTTGCCACGTATGTCACAGTAATGATGAACAAGTTCACATCAAGACAACTTAGTGGAGTGTGACCTAGAAAGGCTGCTGCTCTGGGTCGGAGATGGCCTTGGACGCATCATCGTGTTGTTAAATTCCCACTTTTACAGAAATAGCTCTTTGTTGTCTCTGTGATCCTGAATAATTTATTTCGAACCGTCGTTCCGTTGTGACATTTGCTCACATCGTCCCCGGGTAAGCATGGGCAGGATCCTGAATCCCTCATCAGAACCCGGAAAGGTCAAGTGATATTGATCTCACTATGCAAACGCGCTCTATATTGTCAGAATCAAACCTCCAAGGTTGGGATCAGGTCGAACATTTCCAGACCAGTTCGGGGCTCGTTGTGAGATTCGGCTCTTGTGATGCCTTTTACGGGCAGAACTGGTGAAATTACCGCTGGAATTGAGTAAATCTGACCAAACGGACTTCGCTCAGGGTGATGAATGGACAGAGACTGTAAGTTCATCCGTATGTTGCTGGTCAATCCGCGGTGCGTAAAACGCGCGCTCAGGGGTGGGGACTTCTTTGGAGAGGCAGGACCGAAGAGACACACCAGCACGACTCTCTGCATCCACAGGTTGCTGCGCGGCTCTCTGCTCCTCTCCGAGCATCTTCGCAACCCAGATTTAAGAGTACAGCCGGTGGAGGTGAACTGAGGAGTCGTTAGAGGAGACGCGTTTGGCTGACCGGTTCGGACCTGGACTGCGCAAAAAACCTCATGAACAAAATGCCAAATCCACAGCCTTGGATTATAACCTGCCTAAACAACAATCCAACTGTACTGCGCAGGACTTTTTGGTCGTAAAAAATATCTTTCTTCGGAGGACTGTGCGTTTTATTCGAGACCACCATGCCACAGGTCCCTCACTGCAGCTGCACCAAGGTGACAACAGCAACATAATGGCATGTAGGAGCGGCTGCTGCTGCGGCTCCGGTCCAATAAACGAGGATAACGCGCGGTTCCTGCTGCTGGCTTTGTTCATCATCATCTATCTCCTCTGCGGGGCCGCCGTCTTCTCCGCGCTGGAGCAGCCAAAGGAGCGGGAGGCGAAGGAGCGCTGGGCGCAGAGGTTCGAACATTTCAGCCAGAAGTATAACCTGAGCAAGAAAGACCTGAATAACTTCCTCAGGAACTATGAGGAGGCGAACGTAGCGGGCATCCGTGTGGACACAATCAGACCTCGATGGGACTTCACCGGCGCTTTTTACTTCGTGGGAACTGTGGTATCAACCATTGGTGAGATGGAGAAACAGGCATTTAAAAACAGTGTGAAATGCAGATTTTTCTCAGCCAGCTCTATCATCTTTTTCTGAAAACACATCCATTTTTAAAATCCACCACTGAACCTCTCCTTGAGGACATCAGTTATTAACTTGTGTACATCTTTTGTCTGTTTAGCTTATTTTGTGACTCACTGTGTTACAAACGGTGTCTAGCATAGTTGTCTTTTCTTTTGGAATCTCTCTTACAAACTCTCCCATGTCAAGGTCATTTATCAATCACTTTCCATTAGCCAAAGTAACAAAAGAGTCTTTTTACACTCATTGGATTTTGTATTGAAAGGATGTCAGAAGCCAGGTTAAGTTTCAAACTCAAACTTTAACACATTGCAGATGCTACCTAATAACCAGCACATTAGTGTATGCAAAATACTTGTCAAACATGACAACGTTTGACTCATAGTAGCATTAATGATGGCTCTGGTCCATTTAATTGTACTGGTAAGCCATGCAGTGAGCCATCACACACTGCTAGAAATAAATTAAGCTATAATTAATGCCATTAGTTACACCGTTGCTTATCAAATCAAAATCCTGTTGTATGAAATGTCTATTCAAGTAAGACCTCCTTATTTCTCCTATCTGTTTATGTGTGTTTATTTACTGTGAAGAGATCCACTTTAAGTCATGTTTAAAGTAACATTAGCTGTGAAAAATTCCTCAGTCTTACTTTCAATTTGGTTCATTGGGTTCCACAAAACTAGACAGAGAAAAAAAAGGCAATTTAATGCCTGAAGCACAGAAAGATTTGTCCCTGACAAGGAGTTCTCCATTTCAGCACTGGCTATGTCCAGGACTGTCTGAGAGCACTAGAGGCATCAGTGTTAAGTATGGCAGACAGAGAAGAGAAATAGAGCCAACCAAAAGTACTGTTATACATAGGGTTATACATAGTGCACACTGTTTTTTCTTACAGTTTTCTTCTTCTCAGTATCTGATGTGTAGTGCCCTTTCAAGATCTTTGATAGAAGTGAGTCGATTCATGACAGTTTGTCAGGCCCTCTGATTAGCCATCACCACTCAATTGAGAGCTATGATGATAAAGGATCAGGCTGTACCAATTTCTTCACACACACAAACACATTTTATAGTTCATTCAACACAATTCGCTGTGTTTTTAGACTGGATGATTGTGGCTTAAAAAGAGAGGCAACCCCATGATTGATCCTGTGATTCTCCCATGATTCTTGAAGCCACTGACAATTGTCAAGAAATTGTTTTCCTCTGCTCTACTAGTAGCCCACCTCCTCTTTCCTGAGACCTCTGACAGAGTAGTAAAGACTTCATCCCATATTTTATCAAGCAGAATTCAAGTAGCTTCTGAAAAGAAGAAACTTCTTTGTTCTGTGTGACCTGAAGGAAGGACAGCTTCAACATGCTTGACATATGGCTCCACAATCATTGACTGTACTGCTAGTTCTGCATCAGTTAATCAGTCAGTCTTTATGATTTGACATTGTGTCATGTGCCAGAGGGAGGGGGATGAAGGGCCGGAAATGGGCCCTGGGCCGTCAGTTTGGGTTCCCTGGCTTAACGGAAAGCCCCTCACAAACACAGCATTATTCAAGGAGAGTATTGTGGGCGTAAAAGATGAATACATGGAAGAGTACAAGAGAGTTTATCCAGTAATGCATGGTCAGTATATATGCACATATAAGTCCTCATGTTTACAGGTTAGGGTTAATTTGAATATTTTGAACATCATTACCGCTTTTTATGTTTATGTTAAATAGCCAAGGTGAGTAAGTTATTTTTTCCCAAAAACCCTCTAACAGTTCAAGTTTGGATCGGAAATTCTCAGTTGACTCATCAGTACAAAAGATGAAAATAAATAGTTCTTTGACTAAAAGTTAAAGGCACAAGTCTGTGTACATACAAGTTAACAACACGACCCAGGATGCATTTTGGTAAGACACACCCAATCATAGAGCCTCAGTTTCGGTCACATGCACGGCAAGAGCTAAAATCTAAAGATTACGGTGGAAGATAATATTTTGAGAAAACAGAAAACACAATATGCATCTGAAGTAATTTACTTTTCTGGATAGGTTTTCCAACTGTGGTGACGTGTTTTGTTCACAAATTCAGTAACAAAGGGTTTTGAATTCACTACGCAAATGTGCATGCCTCCAACTGGCCATCTTCTCCGTAGCAATGCTGACTGAAGCTCATGAGTATTATAGTGTTGTAAAAACATTCTCAACTTCACTATTAGGTCCGACCAGAAGCTGGTTATCCTAGCTTAGCTTAGCTTAGCTTAGCTTAGCCCAAACACTCGAAACAAGGGGAAACAGCTATCAGCCGATTACTGATTAAGGCGTTATCCAGTACCTTTTATCCATACAAAAATAGAATTCTAGTTTTTCAGGGGTCAGGTCACCACAAAATGCCTATGTTCGGTGTGATGACGTTTAATGTCTCCGATTGCCTCTATTGTCTTATATTTTCTGACCTATTTTATGGCGTAGAACGAAACATGAAAATCTCTGACCACAGACCTTATATCAGGCATCTAACCAAAAACCTATTTAAAAACAACCTGACTTTGAGGCGAGGTCGAGCATCACCATCAACATCAACCGTGTTGAGACCTTTGAGAATGCCACCCTGTCACAGGTGTCATACTGACACAGTGGCACACTATTTTCTTTCATGCTCTGTATGTTTTATTAACCAGGTCGAATGCCTCATCAATGCCACCTTTAAGCCAGCTTACGAAACAAGAAGAAAAGGAAAACACACCTATAAAATCTAGCCCATTTGGCTTTATTGTTGAATTTGGAAGAAAACTCCAGCCCAGTTAGCACCTTGAGAACACATTTGAATGTGGAGGCAATCGAATCCTCCACAAGGCGCCTGCCTCTGGCACAGTGGCAATTAGTCATGCTGCAGAGTGTGTTTTTCATGACAGGAGATACAGTAACATTTATCTTTGTTTTCCAGTGAAAAGAGCTCTTATGAAAGAATTTACAGCTGCTGTACCTGTATGCAATCAATTTGTCACACCACAAAACACAGTACATCTGTTTAATCACCATAAAAACAATAAACAATAAAATTTTCAACAATGTTGTGAATGTAATGAACTGGAAAAGAGGACAGACAGACAGGTAGACAGACAGACAGACAGACAGACAGACAGACAGACAGACAGTGGTTCATTGAGCTTTCAGTGTTAAATGAGGGATGAAAAGGAGACATCACTGAGATTGGTGCTGTCCATAGAGAGAGCTCTCTCTTTGACTCTGCATTTGTTCACCTGCCAGTTCACTAGAGACAAAGGAGAAGTCACGCTCAAACAGCATCTCAGTTCCCTTCGGGGTGAAACCAGTTAAATGCTTTTAAACATTTGAAAATGAGAGAAAATGATCAAATTGAAATGTGAAGTAGCTCCAGTGGGTATTTCAGTTGCCAAATAACTGTGGGGAATACACTGAAATGTTAGGCAAACCAACAGTTTGGGACTGATTGCGGTGATGTGCTCGGACTGAAAACACCTCACCTCTTAAGATGAGTGACAGACAAAGAGACAGATAGAGAGGGAGAGCACGTCACCATTGGCAACCCAGTATATTGAGGCAGTTGTGGGAGCGCAGTTTTCACTTAGAAGAAGGTGAGACCAGTAATTAGCCATCCTTGTTTATGGCCGAGCGGATGTGAGTTTGGTTTAAAAGGTAAGTCAGCTGGAGGAAATGGCCGCACTCATCTTCTCTACAAATAATCCATTCATGTACTTAAAGCACTCTGTTTTATTTGTGTGTGTGAAATAAAATGGAGGCACTGAGTAAGTAAGACACGGAAGGCGAGAACGGCCATGGATTTATCTTGTGATAACGACTTATTATCTCGTTATCTCGATATAACAAAGATCGTTTTCTCGTGATAACTAATTAATTAATAATGTGTTCACCTTGATTTCAACCTACAAGAGCTGCCACGAACGGCTTCCGTAGCCACTGGCTGTAGCTGTAGCCTACCGGTAAGTTACACCTTACGACAGTTTGTTTCTTTGACTGGAAGCCGTTCGTGGCAGTTCTTGTAGGTTGAAATCAAGATGAACACATTATTAATTAATTAGTTATCACGAGAAAACGATCTTTGTTATATTGAGATAACGAAATAAATTAATTAGTTATCACGAGAAAACGATCTTTGTTATATTGAGATAACGAAATAAATGAATTTGTTATCACGAGAAAACAATCTTTGTTATATCGAGATAATGAGATAATAAGTCGTTATCACGAGATAGCAGTGCATAAAACAAGAAAAATCCATGGCCGTTCTCGGCTTCCGTAGTAAGGTAATGCTTTTATCCTATTCTTTTCGTGGCTCGTCATTGCGTAATGTTTCTGTGTTTATCCCAGGGTTCGGGATGACCACCCCTGCCACCATTGGAGGAAAAGTCTTTCTGATGTTCTACGGCCTGCTCGGCTGTGCAGCCACCATCCTCTTCTTCAACCTGTTTCTGGAGCGTGTCATCACCGTCATCGCTGTCGTCCTCAAGTCCTGTCACGAGCGACGCCATAACAAAGCTGTGCTCCCGCAAAATGGCCGACGACTCTCTGATGGAAACAGAGCAGGTGGAGCTGGCGGGAGTGGTGGAGGAAAAGGAGAGGGTCTGGCTGGCTGGAAGCCTTCGGTCTACTGTGTCATGCTCATTCTAGGAGTGGCAGCCATCTTGGTGTCCTGCTGTGCCTCGCTCATGTACTCGGCAGCCGAGGGCTGGGGCTACCTGGACTCACTCTACTTCTGCTTTGTGGCCTTCAGCACCATTGGTTTTGGAGACATGGTGAGCAGCCAGCGGGTCGTCTACGAGGGCCACGCCACGGCTGCATATCGGCTGGGCAACTTCTTCTTCATCCTGACCGGCGTCTGCTGTATCTACTCCCTCTTCAACGTCATCTCCATCGTCATCAAGCAGGTCCTCAACTGGCTGCTGAGGAGGCTGGAGGCCCCCTGCCGCTGCTGTTTTCCCAGGAGGGGTCACCACCCGCACAGGCACCCCCGACGGAACGTGGTGGCCCCGGGTCATCTGCGCGCCCGCAGAGACCCCTCCATTGAGACAGACGCCATCAACGAGAGCGAGACTGACACTGGGCGCAGGATGTCTGGGGAGATGATCTCCATGAGGGACTTTCTAGCAGCCAATAAGGTGAGAGATTCAGGGCTGCAGCAGGCTGACAGCTTGTGTGATATTCTACGTGTCTAATGTAATCACATGTGTTATTCCAACCAAGATATTCACTCACCTCCGAGAGCAATTTGATTAGACTGCTCACATGACTAGTAGATAGAAAATTTAGTCAATAATCTTTCTTCCCTGTAGTCATATTTACTGCTGTCATTGGCTCCTCATTCACCCTGCTCTCAGCCAACCCCCTCATCATAAGCTGTACTGAATTCTGAATTATCTGTTGCAGCTCTGCTGCACAAAAAACTCTGTAACATAAATGGAAACCAAGGGTATGGAGCTATTATTGTAGCAAAACTATTTACAAATGTGCATAGAGAGTTGTGTAACTGTATCTCAATCCATGTGTGCATAATCAGATTTGTAAATGTGCAAAAAAATATGTACAAATCTGCGATCCCCAGTTTTTTCTCAATCAGCACCAGCAGGTGGACATCTATGGTTTTAGGTGAATTATCTTGACATCTATTAGGATAAACCACAGGATAAATAGTCATGACTTTGGCGATCCCTTAACTTATCATCTAGCAAAGTCAAAATGTCAGTTTGTTCAGTAGGCGGACCTTCATGACAAATACCTGCAAAACTAATGACACTCCCATCAGCCTTAGCAGTACTTTGTGTTTAGTGCTTATTAGCAAATGTAAACATGCTAACATGCTAAACAAAGATGGTAAACATAGTAAACATTATACTTGCATGTTAGTATTGCATTTGTGAACACGTTAGCATGCTAACATTAGCATTTAGCCCAAACCACAGCTGTACCCAAGTGACCTTGTTAGTCTTGTTTTCTACAGCGTACACATAAAAAGGCTGCTATTTCTCAACAATATTTTATTATGATATTTATTTGTTTGTTTATTATATATTTCTCAACATAATTTGGATGTTCCCCTTTGAAATAAAACTAGTCCAAAGTTTGATTTAGCCCCAGAACCTCTAGCAAGATGCCTGGTATGCCTGAAAATGAGAATTCAGTCTGAATATCAGGATAGTCTGTCTGGACATTCACTGTAAAAAGACACCTGTAAGGTCTGAGGAACTGTCATTGTCTAGATTGTGGAGAGAGCAATGAGAGAGAGGGGAAAGGAACAGGTGGAGGGAGACAGAGGGAGTCTAGACACTTCACAGTTAGATGCTCCGGCACCAGGTAACACACTGACCTTTTCATCTTCAGGGACAACTGAACATTGATGATCTGTAGGTAGACGTCGGTGGGAACATGGACTTGAAATGAGTAATAACCTGTAGAGTTGAGTTGGTGTTAGGCTGCACATCATGAAGAACTTATTTCATTCCAGTAACCTCTCTCCAAACACTGAGTCATCTCTATAGCTATTACAGTCTTTGTTAGTGGTCTAGACACTGAATGAAGTCAGGGTCATACTCACACAGGTCCTTTTACTTCGTCCAACACTGAAGTTTGGATGCAATCATGTCACATGTTTGCGCAATGAAGTTACTTTGTGGTCATTTCAAGTTTAAGAATTGAGATACGGTAAATTAGCATTACTCCGCATCCAAAGACCTCACAGGCTCAAATATGGGGCATTACACGAGAATGACTATTACACACCACTTACTGCAGCTTATTTAAAGATGGCAACTCAGGAACAAATATGGTATGTTTTAACTTAATTTTAATTTGTATATTTCCAGTATTTTTAAAGGGCTATTTAGTATCCAAATGAATTACCCTCACTGTGGGTACAGGTTTTGTAGCACAAAATACCACTTTGCTAATTAAAACTAAGAACCCAGTTGATGATTGATGATCAAATCTGTAGGTACAAACATTTATGATTAGGCTCATTGTTTTAGTTACAAGACTAAGAATCTACAGCTATACTAGAGGCTCTGTGAAGCTGCACTTAGGCACAGCTGTTCTTTGAGCTAAATGCTAAATTCCACATGCTAACATGCTCATAATGACAATGCTAACAAGCTGATGCTTAACAGGGACTGAGGCTGATGGGAATGTCATGAGTTTTGCAGATATTTTTGTTATAAATAAGCAGCGGAAAAAATAGAATTATCTGGCGATTACCAGAGTTTTTAGATTAAATTCATGGGAATATGAATGTCAATAACAAATTTCATGGCAATCCATCCAATATTTATTGAGACATTTCACAAAAAATTAAAAATGGCACTGACAGTAAAAGTCAGGGGGATCACCAAAGTCAGTATGCTACGCTCACTAGGGGCTGTGACTGTCTGTGTAAAATTCTGTGATCATCCAAATTTCAGTCTGGATCAAAATGATGGACGCTTGGCTAAAAATACACCCAATTATGTTGATTTAATATTGACTGAACACAGGTTAAACATCAGCACACATCAGTCGTGTACTTTCTGTGCGCATTGCTTTGTAAAGGTTGGTGTGTGGGAGAGTAAATATCAGGTTTCTGTCAGTCACACTTGTTCAGTATTTGTCGTCTTTGTTCCCTTAAATCAGCACACCTAAGGAGAGGAAAAACACCATCTGGTAGCTTTGTATCACACCTGTGAAATCAGATGTGCCAGCCGCCAACACATTGTATTAATGCTCGTTTTTCAAGGATTCACAGGTTGCACGTACCACTTCCAAACACAGACAGCTAATATTTCCTCATCGGTTGATTTCTTTATCTCTTTCCCTTTCCGCAGGTGAATCTGGCTATCATGCAGAAGCAGCTTTCGGAGATGGCCATTGGGCACCCTCGCCAGTCCAGCTCCAGTTCACGTCAGAACGGATTCTCAGGAGGGGTGGGTGCCCTTGGCATCATGAACAACCGGTTGGCAGAGACTAGCGTGGACAGATAGGGGAAAACAGTGTGAAACCTTTTTTTTAGGGTTACAAAAGGCTGAGAGGATGAGATGAGTAAGGACAAATTGACACTGTGGGCCCAGAAAAAAAAGATTTTGAGTGGTGTACAAGACTGAATTTATGACTACATAATACATCTCCATCGACAAGCAAGCTGACCCCCAGCAGCTACAGCTTAGAATCAAACCCTCTCAGCCCACTCTGCTGTCAAGAACATGGCTACATTAATGTTGTATGATAGTTTGCTGGAGTCTCTCATCTGGACCAGGCTCAGTGCGCCGGAATGCTCCCCCGTGAGGAATTCAGTTTCCATGGTGATAAAAAAGCCTGTCTAGAGCCCCTGTATCCAGGCCTTAAAGACCTGATGCACTACACGCTACTTTACACCTAACTGCAACTTCCACCCATCCACAGTACTTCACAATACTCACTATCAGTCTACCCACGTCCACTCTACTGTATGCGTCATTGTAAAGGACATTAATGAGAAAATAATAGCTTTAATAAAATGGGTGTTCCTTGGCTTTGTGTCTAACGGTATGTAAAATGAAACAAGAATCCCAATTCATAATTAATTGAATGTTTACCTTGAATGCAAAATGTATAATTTTACAACCAGACTATCAATGACACTAGTTCACATGGTTCATGACTCAGACACAGCCGCATTATATGCTATTCAATAACCCTGCATCTTTTGGCCCTGCTTTCATTCATTATCACGACAAATAGAAGACAAAACCCCCTAAAAGAACCTCATTGCAAACCAAACAGACCTATCTGGATCTGAATGGGTGGTGTTGTGAGTATGAGATGAAACCTTTTATGTGCGACTGCTTTTTACTTTGTGATGTGCTGCGACATAATCCGGGCACAGATGCAGACATTTTCACACCCTGATGTTGTCCAGGCCTGTAGTTGGTTGGTACTGATATAAATGCAGTGAAAAAGAGAATTGCTCCGGGGTTGTTTGATTCTAGCTCAGCTGTGTTAGGTTTGTGTGTTTTCTCCTGTAATGTGGATTCACGCTAAGTGTAGAAAACAAAAAGGACAGAAGACAGACAGACAGACAGACAGACAGAGGTTGTCCATAACACGCCTTTGACACCGGTGAAATCTGCAAGCAGCCAAGAGGGAGAATGACTTGTGGATGCTATATTATGCTTGATTTAGGGAGATGGTAGAGGCATCTTCTTTCTCTTTGTACATGCATGAGAAGAAGGCTCCACTTCTGACGTCATCAGCTGAGCTTTGGCATATTTGACTGAAGTGTGTGTGTGTTTTACAGAGAACGTGAGCAGAGAGAAATCCTTCTTTAGTGTCGTCTTGATTAATGACAACCTAGCGAACCTACAAAGAAAGAATGTTAATGTGAACATTAATTTTGTACAGAGTTGTCATGATTTTATAGGATGCTTTCCAATGGTTGTACGAATACTATATCTGTGAGTCATCCTTTTCAGTTCACAGCAGAAACTGAGAAGAAGGAGGCGAGATCCAGATGGCACACAGCATTAATAAAACATATGCAGAGTAAAGAATGTATTTGTATAAAATAAACATGATGTAACTGACCATTGCCTAAATCCGTCCACCAAACATTGATTTTTACAATCAGGATTGGAATCACAAAAAATCCACGAGACCATAATTACAACAAAACTATGTTTTTTTTTAGAGTTTAGAGGATAGTGTCTTTGTGTAGCCTTTCCAAAATCAAAAACACACAAGAAAAGAGTGTATTAAAGGCCCATGTGTTGATTTGCTCAAATGTAATATAATATTCATAGGTGTGTTTTTATTAGTGTATAATCACCTGAAAATAAGAATCTTTATGTTTTTATTACCTTAGAATGAGCCGTTTTTATCTACAGATGAAATGGGTCCTCTCCTACGGAGTCCACCATGTTGAACCGCCATGTTTCTACAGTAGCCCAGAACAGACGAGGTTTTCAGTTGGTGGCAATCTGGTCCTTTAAACAGAGTGTTTAACTGCTCTAAAATAAACTGATTCATTAGCATGTCCACCTAACTAGCTTACTACCAAGGGGTGGTAACTAGGAGCACATTATTAGTACTTAGTAGCACTCCACTGTAGGCTATTTCCCCACTGTGTGGAAGCCAGCCCTGGACGCTATCAGAGTGCTTCTGCCCTGCTCATCATTGAATTTAATAAAAAGTTTACATTTTGTTACCCCAGCCATGCAAGCAATTTCAGCTTCAGTCATGGAGCTCATGTTTGCTTAACTAGCCAGATAGCTACAGCTGTTACAAGAGAAGCTGCATAGAAATGGTAAGCCTGGTTTTGTCTACCATTGTTTGAAATCAGTATTGTTAAAAAAAGGATTTTGAGTGGTAAATCTGGCACAATTATCATTAGCTGTGTTTCCATCAATACATTTTCAAGAATTGCATTAGAACATTTTTATGGAAATAACTGAGTTTTTTTAACTTGTAGAATTAATGTGCTTATTAGGAGGTGGAAACACCTTTTCCAAATAAGTTCTGACATAGGGAATATTTATGACATAGCTGTTTCAGCTCCGAGAGAAGAGGAGGAGAAAGAAGAAGCTTTCTCCTCTCCAGACAACATGAAACATGGCCAATACTGGCTGACATAAAAAATAATTACAAGATTCCCAACTGAAAAAGAATCATGAAGACGACCTAGATGATTGGTTTTGTTTCTTCTTCTTCTCTTTGAGGTTTATTGGTGGCAAATAATTGCTTTTGATTCCAGTTTGCAACCGCCAAATTGTGATGAAACTAATTTATTAGTTCAAGTTGATGGAAATGCACCTAATTTTAGCCTTTTTTCTCTTTTGCAACAGTTTGCTTGACAATTTGATGGAAACAAGGCTACTGTAAACTGTAAAATGTGCCGTGCAACTGGGTTCAATCAACGGTCAATTACTGCAGCTGTAATTCATATATTTCAAACAAACATTTGAATCATTGTGTGTTTAATTGTTCTTCTAGGTTCATGAAGTTGTAAGGTACTATAGATGTAAATCCACCTTGTCTTTATGTATTTAAACTACATGTGAGCACTTTGATCTCCTTAATACTAACATTAAGATATCAGCTACATATTCACCAAGTCAGTTCATTAACAGTACAGAGAAAATAACACAGACAAAGCCCTAAATACTGATATCCAATATCAATATAGAATCATAAAACTGATAAAAAATAACTTGAATCTAGCAGCCTCCACTCTTTGCTATGGGGACATTCTCACCCTCAGACAGAATAATCTGATGCACAAACTGCGAAGATGTTGCTTTTCCATTGGCAGGGTCCATGCACATGCACACTACACAAACATAATCACACTTTCAAGTGCACACACAAAATAGCCTAATAGAGAATCAGATTATATCAGAGAAGCTGTGCCTACACAGATAATAATAGCTTTGAACAATTGCCTGTGTGTTCCTGTTTTGTTTGTGTGTGCATACGTTATTCGTGTGTGTGTGTGTGTTACAGGCGAGACTCGGACAGACGCAGACATACAAAGAGTCTTTGTTAAAGCTGTTTTCCGAGTCACGACAACTCCCAGAGAGTTACTGACACTGCTGTCGCATCCACTGAGTTGGAGACAATTTAAAATGCACTCTAATGGAACAATAATGCAGGATTTGACAATGTGGTTGATGTTGCTGTGCTGCAGAGGTGGCCCCCACCATTCATGGTTCACTGGGAGTAAGCTTCATAGGTGGCTATTTTATTATTATGTACACAAAAGGTGTGAAACCTCAGTAGCTGAGTAAAGACATGATGAATGTATGACTATACTGTGAGCAATTTTGACGATAAATGAAAGTGGATGTGTGTTCCTATGACATTTGGGAGTGGGGCAGTGATTTATATATTATACATATTATATAATGTGTAATATATGCAATATTATACTTTAAAAACAAACTTTAGACAGTGACACTGATACTGAGTCCAGTTGAGGTCAGTGGCTGTCAAGCAATGGCTTTGCACATATACAGACATGTCTGACCACAGGGATTATCTACACAAATAGTGACAGCGCTGCACAATTAGCTAATTAACTTAATGACTTAATTAGGATGGGTGGGATGTGTTCGCAGTGTTGTGTGCATAATTATTGATTTATCATGTGCATGAGTGTGACAGGGGAGGTTAAATAGCAAGCATGCCAATTAAATAGTCTCTGTCAAAACCAAGGCTGTGAGACCCAGATGGCACATGGTGCTAGCCCAACATATGCACAGTGAAGAATGCTTTTGTCCGGCAACAAACATTATTAACATTATTTCTGCAACTTTATTCCATCCTCTTTGCTGTTGAGCACCCAGGGCAACACCTTGTGCAGTGCTGAAGATGCTGTCCTTAAAGTTATACATCAAAAACTTTACCTTTTCTTTCTCTTTCTAAGTTTGTGTCTTTTACCTGAGTGTTGGTTCTTTTGTTCCGCTTCATGACATACAAACAAACTCACTTTTTGTCTTGTTGAAAATACAGATATCAGCTGAAAGTTTGCTTCTTTACCTGCTCTAATGATGGCCCACGTGAATAATAGTCAGCCAAAATGTGCAATAATGTGCAAGTAACCATGACAATGCATGACATGTGATGTTCATTAAAGTCAGCTGAATAAAGTTCAAAAGAGAACCATCATTAAAACAACATACCGTGTGCTATTGTAATGAGTTTAGACCATGAAGTCTGTACATTTGTTGCACACATTTTTATTGAGACAAAGAATATACAGACACTATATTGTTGTGTCAAAGCTCATTTTCCTTCGTAAGGAGAATTTTTTTTCTAAATAAAGGAAATAAATGTTTAAATGAAATGAAATTTGAGTAAGACAAAAATAAATGTGTATGTGATAAATAAAAGGATATAAATCTAAATGGAAGAATAGGAACATAACTCACAAGGCAGTCCAGGAGCTTTGATTTCCTACATGTATACCTCTTCTTTATCTTCCTCTACTGTCTCCTACCCTTCTCTCACTTAAGGTGTGAAATGGGAAATGGTATTATTTTAGGAGTCAGCCCTTTAAGATAAAGTCTACACCTACAGACAACTGTGAAAGCTGAGCTGGGAGTTGAAGGTATGGTGTGAGCACTGCACTACTTTTTACTGTCTCAGTAAAATCTACACGGCTGCTGTTAGCCTAGTTAACACAACTAAACATTAAAAAAAGAAATAAAAAGGATTGCTTAAAAACAAGTACAAATGAAACCTCAAATGTTCAGTACTGTTCAAAAGGGGTTTCGGTTTACGGTGAACCGTTCCAGCATCAGGTGTATAGTATTTTGTCCCATAGAGCTCCCGTACCCTCTGACGTCACTTCAGAGCGACAAGTAACAATGGTAAGTGAGCAAGCACTTTTGTCTGCGGCTCGTATATTTATTATTTATTATTAGTAAAACGTGTTATTCGACAATAAAACGTCACTCGTAGTGCTTAAAACAGCAGTATGTGTACTGCCATGTAGTTCTCGGCGGTTGTACGTCCGGACTGAGAAATAACGACAGAATTAAAAGAAGGAAACTCTTCTAGCACAATGCTAACAGCATTAGCCTTTTTCCTCCGTTGGCAGCAGTCGTTATCCTAGCTCTTATTAGCGAAGTCATTCACATTGTAAAGGCTAATGTAATGTAATGTAATGTAATGTCTCTTCGTGGGTGACATTAATGTCTCAGAGTTTGTCTTTCTGTTATAACATAAGCTAACGTGTTGAATGAAGCTATGGTGGCAGGTAACGGAGACGTACGCTAACTGTACTGGAAACAGCCCGGGTATCGAACTCTCCGGCAGTGAGTGTCAGGGTTGCTCTGATAGCTACTTTTCTTTTCATTTATTTAACATATGCCTGATATTCCTCTAGGGTCAAAGCCAGAGTGGAGGCCACGGTCCGGGGGGGGGCAAGAAGGACGACAAGGTGAGAATGACACAGCTTCTGCTAGCTGAACTGTGAACTTGTTTGTTTTGGTTGCCTAGTATTATTATTATTATTATTATTTTACAGTGGTTTCATATGACAGTAGGGCTGCGCTATGTGATAACCCTTCCAGTAATTATATTAGATGTATTCTGTGTACTATTCTTGGATATTTTGTTTTGCCTGTCTTCTCACTATCTGACCAGCCAGCCACAGTTTGCTGCTGTTTGATAAACAGTGGTCTGCTGAAGGCTTTCATTTGAAACTCTGTATGTGTTTCTGGCTGTAACCTTGTCTGATATTCGTCTCCCCACTTTGTTCCAATTGAAGGATAAGAAAAAGAAGTATGAGCCTCCAATTCCCACCAGAGTTGGCAAGAAAAAGAAGAAGACCAAGGGGCCCGATGCCGCTAGCAAACTACCATTGGGTAAGGAACTGGGAAGGCAGAGGGTTGTGAAAGTGTGTTTCTTCTGTGTGATGGCCTTTCCCAGGTTTTGGAATTTTTATTGTTTATGATAAGTCTCCTGCCTAGCTCTATTTGAGCTTGCTGGATACAACTCGGCACACAGTTTGGAAGTTATCCCTGACATCCCTGGTAGAGAGACAGTAAAACTACTGAAACGCCTCATATGCCATTATTAAATAAAAAGAGTGTAAGAGAAAGTAACACAGTCTGATGCAAATTGTAAAGGGGTGGAAGCAAGCTATTAAAAACCTTCAAATGTAATAGGAAAGTTAAAGTCTGTTTGTGGTTGAATCAAATTAGTGTTTTATTTATATTTTTTAAATGTAGGCTTTTACATATGCTGGCCTGTGTTTGCCTTTCAGTTACCCCTCACACTCAATGCCGCCTGAAGCTGTTGAAGCAGGAGCGAATCAAAGACTACCTGCTGATGGAGGAGGAGTTCATCAGGAACCAGGAGCAGATGAAGCCTCTGGAGGAGAAACAGGAGGTCAGCTCTTGTTACTTATGTGCCTCGTATGCTTTTGTGCTGTATATTTGGCTTTAATGTAGATGGCATAATCCTGTTCTTATCTTTTTTTACAGGAGGAGAGGTCAAAGGTGGACGACCTGCGCGGGACACCCATGTCTGTGGGCACTCTAGAGGAAATTATTGATGACAACCACGCCATTGTTTCCACCTCAGTGGGATCAGAGCACTACGTCAGCATCCTGTCCTTTGTGGATAAGGATCTGCTGGAGCCCGGCTGCTCTGTCCTGCTCAACCACAAGGTAATATTCAGTGAGAATCCTTCAGCCACCTCTCCTCTTAATTGTTGTTAAAATTCTTACTAATTGTCCAGTTTTTGTGCATCATTTGTAGGTTCATGCTGTGATTGGGGTGCTGATGGATGACACTGATCCCCTGGTGACAGTGATGAAGGTGGAGAAGGCCCCACAAGAAACCTACGCTGACATTGGAGGACTGGACAATCAGATCCAGGAGATCAAGGTATATCACCAATGCACTTAAACCTACCATGCCCAAACTGTTATCTAAACATGGATTTATTTGTTAATGATAGTAAATTCAAGAGTCAAGCAAAACTATGAATTTAAAGAGGGGTTATGTGCATATATAATTAAGTAACTGGCTGCTCATTCAACACCAGACCATAACCAATTCAGTAATCAACAGTTAAAGTAACACTAGATCCAGACTCTCTATGTGAGGCTGCTTCTATAGGTTACTCCTCTTTTTCAGACACTAAGGCTGACTGTGCAATTTTTGTTGTTTTATACAGGAATCAGTGGAGTTGCCTCTCACACATCCAGAGTATTATGAAGAGATGGGCATTAAGCCCCCCAAAGGTGTCATCTTATACGGACCACCTGGTACAGGTAAGTGCTTCCATAAACATTTTACCATTAGCAGTTCTCTGGGGAAAAAGCAGAAATGTTTAAGGTGCTGCCATCCCTTCAACCTGCAACACAGTTTAGCAAGCCTCCCCTATTTCACGATGTTGTAGAGAAATAATAAAGAAATGAAGGCTGAACAAAAGTAATCAATCGATTCACTCTCGCCACGTTGAGCATTTAATCATCAGAAAGTGATCTACTAATAGACCGTCATCTGTGATGACAATTATGTAATTATGAGTTGAGGAGCTGACATTCAGTTACAAATATGTGCTACTAGAATGACACACATACATATACCCTAACCTGTGATTTTCCAATTCAGTCACATAAGTATTTTTTAAATGAAATCCAGAGATGTTGTTGAAGGTGTTGTTACATCACTGACAAAGTCCATTTGGCCATTATGGGTGTTTTTTACAAAGGTAACCAACAGGGAAGATGAGAAACTGTCACTAATCTCCTGCAGCCTCTCAGTAGCGCCACAGATAAAAACAACAAAACAAAACTGCTCCTTCAGCCACTGTATGAAATCTGCATATTATGGCCTATATAATTAAAGTATAATTAATAACTGCTAAGATTGCTTTTGTGAACTTATCAACAGCATTAGAAAACATGATTTTACTAATCGTATCTGTTCCTTATTTAACAGTCTCATTAATTATGGAAGTAAAGGTTGAGTTGAAGTGCGTTTCTCTTCAACTTAACTGTGAATTTCAATACAGTCTCTGCAACCTTCTTAGTGCATTTATAAAGAACTACAGATCATCGCTTTTACAAGTAGAATAGAAATTAAGTTTAATTTCCTCTCAAAAGCAAGGAGGGGCAGAATTTTTTAAGTTTAATCTTTGTGGATGTCAATGGTTATACATTTACTGTCTTTGAGAATAATATGCACAACAATATATAACATTTATTGTTAGAATATGGGGAGAATTGTGAGAACTTTTCAGACATAATACTTACTGCCACATAAATGGTATACTCATATTTGTCAAGGGTAGCAGTTATTGTATTCTTGTGCTAAAAATGTGCTTGTAAATGTGGCAGAGTATGAACTGCACTGCTCTGCATTGTACTAGGTAAAACACTGCTCGCCAAGGCCGTAGCCAATCAAACATCGGCCACCTTCCTGCGTGTGGTGGGTTCAGAGCTGATCCAGAAGTACCTGGGAGACGGGCCCAAGCTGGTACGAGAGCTCTTCAGGGTGGCAGAGGAGCACGCGCCCTCCATCGTCTTCATTGATGAGATTGATGCCATCGGCACCAAGAGGTACACAGACATCTGCTTAAAGCTATTTTAGATGGAATGTGAGAGACCGAGAGCATCAGAGCAGTGATACTGTATCACATATGGTGTTGAGGAGTCAGAAGGTGTTGGATTAGTAAGTGTGATAACTGGTTATGCCTTAATATGTTACGGTCTTATTTTTATTCAGCACTTAACAGCATGTTACAGGGTTCATACAAAGTCTTAAAAGTTTGCAAAATGCTTTTAACAGTTATCTTGTTTTCAATATTAGGCAAATGCTTGAATTTGAATAAACCCCTTTCAGCATAATCTGGTGTTTCATCTACAGTCACTCATGTAAACCAAAAATCTTCTAATGTTTGAAATCAAATGATCCCGTCGTCATATTAGAAGCGTTAAATAATCAGATCAAAACATAAAAAAATGAACAGCTGAAATAAAGTGATAATATACATTCATTGCTGTGGGTGGAAAGGAATTCTGTAAACTTTAGTTTACGCAGTTGCATTTAGTAGCAGTTTAGATGTGACGATAAAGGCCTCGAGAGTCTGAACATTTTTGGTTTATGTATCTTGAAAGTGCTTGAAAAAGGTCTTTAATTTTACTCTTAAAACCGTT